ATTCAGATTTTGCCATGGGTATGGTTTACTGCTGCTGGTTCTGTTCCCTTTCTAACCCTCATCTGCATCTGGAAAGACTCCTTGTTCAGCATTATCCATAGAGAAGGCAATTAGAGTTGATTTCAATATTTGCCTCAAAGTAGAGGAACTTTCCTAGGAGACCGTTCAGTCACTGCAACGAATTAGACTTGACCTCAATGAGGAATATGGTGCACTGGCAGTTTTGTGTCCGTTATTCATGGAAACATCACTTATTTGGATTTAATCTGATTACAGCGTGCTTCCAACACTTTTTCCATTCTGGCCAAAGTAGGTAGATGTATAAACAATATTCAGGCAAATGGGTCACCCATGTTTTGGAGATTGTGAGACCCAATAACTTCCAGGCGTTTCACTTAAAACAACATTAAATAACTAATGATGTTACTTGATGCCCAGAGGCGCCAGGGGTGGACCGATATGAGAATTGTGGACCGATGCCAATATCCATGTACAATATGTACATTATGTGTCGATGCTGATCCTGATACAAAAACATCTATAAAATATTATGACATATTAATAATAAAAATAAAAAGAAGAAGAATACATTTTTATGTTTCTCAATCCAGACATTTTCACTTGCAGCTAATGAGGTTAGCTCAATGCCAACTGAGAGAAAGTTTCTCAGTCCGCAGGACATTTACACTCACTACAGAGCTTGCATTACAAATAAACCTAATATTTATTTCTTTATATATTTTATATTTATATATATTTATATATATCTTTATATTTATTTATAGTCACAAATGCATTAATAAATGCAGGCATTTCACTACAGCAGCCCAGCATCCAACATTCTGCTTTTTCCAAATACAATAATACATCATAATATTGGTTTGACATCGGTTAAATCTAAACATCGTCCAATATGATTCTAATATCATAGTACATCACTAATACTAACAACTACCTGTTGTTGTCATGAGACCTACTTTACTTTGCCTTATGATATGCTTAGGCTGAATTTGTTACAAAATTTGTTTGGAATTTGGTCTTTTTTCTTCTAATAACTTAGCATTTTCTGCTGGTAACAGCCTGATACTGATAAACATCGCCCAATATGATTCTGATATCATAGCACATCACTAAGAAACACTGTTATGATAATCAAATGCAAAACATACAGTACAAACAGCCTGTGTTTAGAGGAAAGTGTTTCTGCTATTAGTTTTGTGTGAACAATGGCATAGTACACTGCTATGGAGAGCTTTTTCATTATTCCGAACTTCATTATTATTATCATTTAACTTCAATGGTTAAGCTTTAGATTTCCATACTTTCACTCATGGATGTAACTATAATCTGACTAGTGAAAATATGGGCCAAAGGATCAAATATGTTATAAGGAAGATTAAAAGTACAGTTCTTGAAGACGACTTTTGTGACCGAAGTTATTATTGCTGAAAGTGTTCTAAAACTGAAAAAATCCATTCTGACATTCATCTTTTTTTGCCATAGCAAAACAAATAAAAATAGCTATAACTGTGAAGTAGGAAAGCACATCACAATCAGAGTGTACAATAAGAGTGTACAAGCCTGCTTGGTCTGATCACCTGAAATAGTTTCATATCAGCACCCCTCAGAATCTTACCAAAACGGAGAGGGCAGATGAAGAGGCAATGTAATCTTTCCTTTAAGGAGCACCATCTGTGCAAATGTAATTAATCATTATTGAGAGTGTTTTTCTAATGCCTCACAATTTGGCCTTGAGATTATTTTCTCAGAGTTGTTAAGTTATGCTTAATACTGCAAACTGGTAAATATTAAAAAACAGTCATGGAATTCAAAACGTGCAAGTCAGGCGCCAAAACCTATTAAAGGCTTTGGCTGCTTGCTACATTTCTAATACCGTCAAAGGAGGACTGTTTCGGGATTAGTTATAACGGCTGAACGTATATACAACCTGACTCTGTCTACGAATAGAACCTACTCGTCAATGTTAAGTAGGAGATTGTTTGGAAAATAGTAATAAAAGCTGAAACAAGCATATCAGAGATGGTATGATATCAGTTTTTCCTTTCTGATACCAATATTGATTCTGAAACCTTCAATACTTTTGATAATGATTATATTTTTTTTCGCCTTAACAAACTACTAAGCTTTACAACTACCATTTTTCAAACTGCTAAATAACACTATACTACCCTACAGGAAGAAATATATAGCCAACAACATATTCCTTACTAGAGGTATTTGTATTAATTTTAACTGAAAAACAAAAACTGAAAATTTCAGCCTAAATGTAAGTAAAACTACTTCTAGTAATTAGAAATACTTGCTAGCTTTGTTAACAAGCACTGAAGTTACTCTTGTTAACGTTCAGCTATATGTGACTACTGTTGTTGCCATGAGACCTACTTTACTTTGCCTTATGATAAGCTGCCTTATGATATGTTTAGGCTGAATTTGTAACATAATTTGTTTGGATTTTGGTCTTTTTTCTTCTAATATCTTAGCATTTTCTGCTGGTAATAGCCTGATACCGATACTGAGTATTGGATTTGTGCCATTTCTCATACATACGCAACTTGCTTTCATTTGCCTCTTCCATTTTATCACTGTTGATCTAATTCATAGCATCAGAGGCTGCCACAGGTGTCTCCTTTGAACACTTTCCATGTGGAGACCCTGACAGATCTCCCTCTTCCCTATTTGCACATCTTAGTCACACACCATTGACCTCTGAAAGAAGGCGATGTGTGTGTGTGTGTGTTGGGGTTTAAACAGAAAGTTTTAAATGGTGGATGCTGGCTAAAATGATGACAGGGCAGCATGGCTACGCATCACTCCGCCAGTGAGGCAGAACTTAGCTAATGAACCTGGGGGTTACTGCACATTCCTCTGTGTCCCAGTTAGAGATGGATGGAGACTAGGGGCATTCATCATCTCTCTATGGCCCATTACCCTCACTGACGGCAGCCAGAGACCAGCACTTCCCTCACCCACCTTATTCCACCTCTCAGACTTGGGACCATTGCAAGAAATGTTGGCTCTGGGTCAGTTTCTCCTTAAAAACATGGTGGTTGAGGTCATTATCGTCCAGAAGAAGCCTGATCCAAGATCAGCACCATTCTGGAGCACTCCAGGGATGTTTTGGATGGACTGGACTAGCCTTATTTGACAAGTAAATCATTCTCCCTAATAGGCTTGGAGATTCTGCACACCACAAGGTCTGTCTGGGAACTACAATATTTTCCGAAGGAGATGAAAGCTTAGTCTCTTCAAGAGCCTTCAAAGGATAGATGTCTGACTCAAAAATGGGCAGATATTTCCATTAAAGGATGAGAGGTCTGAACGCTAGAGATTTTCAGCTTTCAGCAAATGTTCATTTTATGTACACGATGATTTGCCAGGAGCATAAAATGTCACACTGGACTCTAGTTTTTGATTTCAAGCCACTTTAACTGAAATTATGTTGTCATTATCATATTATCAGCATGTGATTAATAAATTATGTGGTCTCTTTACAATCGTAATGATTAATTGCATTCATTAAAACACTGTCTGCTAGATTACTGAACCAGCATTGTAAGTGAATACAAATTCTGGATTAGTTTTGTAGGATCAAGTCAAGGAGCCTTAGCTTCAGCTTCTGTGATTGTATTTATAAGGGCTGCAAAATATGTAATTTATTAATTATTTATTTTGCAACATTGGCTCTGTATTATTTGGGCCAATAATCATCACATGCTTTTCGACAGCCAAATAAAAAACCTTCATTTTTAAAATATGAATGTGAAAATAATTGCAACGCTAGTACTTTGTTCATATTGTGTAGTTTATCAAGCTGTGCAGGAGAGCTCATACCAGATCAGTTTGGACTGTCATATCCCAATCACATTAGTCTCATGAGCAGTAGAGAGCTGGTCCCCGAACAGCATGCACACTCTGATAGGCCTGATGCGTAAGGGCTCTGGTGCCTGGCTCTGCATTTAGCTGGTGTGCCTCCTGAGTGTTAGCTAAAATTGCCATGAGTAATCCCCTTAGTTCCGTCCCAGTATTAGCACAAATTCCAGCGCCAGCTACATGATTTCAGAGTGGCTCTGTGTGCTTTGAAGGACACTCATAATTGCGGGGGTCTAATAGGCCCACTTTCGCCCCCTGCTCCAACAAGGGGGTTTTGAGTCCGATTCAGACGAAAACCATTACTCTCAAATTTATCTTAATAACGGAGGACACACCAAAAGCCGACTATTTGTTCAGCTGATAGAAACCCACACCTGCTGTGTCCCCAGTCCACACCAATCCCGTTCACTCATCTTGTACTTTGAAGCTTTGAATTCAACACTGCAGCATTTTCCTTCCACAGGCTTTTACAAATTCTCAGTCCACGATGCAGATGCAGCTTTCTTTAAATCAAATTTCTATTTTCTCTTTCTGGAAATGATTAAACCCTACCCCTACGGCAGTTTTAGGAGAACTGAATTTGCTAGATGCACCAGAAAGCATGCTAGCAAAGCCCAAAAGCTCCCGACCGTATGATGTTTTTTGCCGCAGTACTTGATCATCATACTAACCCAGCAATTTGTGAGGATAAAGTTAAATTTGCAGTAATCAGGGTGCCTTAAAACCACTGGATTTATTTTCGAGCACCTTTGCCCCGTCTTTTTCTTACTATATCTGCGTCTAAGCTGGGCAGGATTAGAACTAATGGGACAAAGGCCTTTTTTACCTCTCTCTACCATAGGACTGCACAGGCCAACCCACATATCAAACACTGGGGAAAGGGTGTCTTCAAATGTCTTGTTTCAGAGTGGACAGCTTAAAAAAGTTGCTATTCTCTTCAAAATGTTACTTTCATCACTTTTAGACTTTAAGAAAGAAGAATTTGCTAATTAGAAAATAAGAAAACCCTAGAATTAGCTAATTTGTCTAAGTAACAAGACGACTAAGAAGACTAGAAGAGGACGAGCAGAAGTTGAAGACCAATTGAAAACAAGTCAGTGTGCACTTACCTGGGAAAAGTTGAGTCCATTAAGTGGATGGCACTGTTCCTCCACCTTCTCCACAGCTCCTGTTTTCTTTTTCATCCTCTCGGCCTCCTGGGCAAGGTACAGGTCCAGTACGGGCACGCCCCGAGTTTTAATGTCCGCCTCAGTCAGCGAGTTGACCATTAGCATCACCCACACTGGCCGTTTCCGTTCCCAATTCCCAGCTATGGCGTTAAACAAGTAATCGGCGTACAGGCCCTTGCCTCTTTGGTCAGGTGTCATCCAGGACGGCATCATGAGTTTGACGTACTCAAGGTGCCTTTTGAGGCGGCGATAGATGTCCCTGGGCAAAACGTTCTGCAGGTTTTCGCCCTGCGGAAGCAGCTGGCAGCTGGTTAGAGCCGAAATGGTGTAAGGGTCTGTAAGGTCCAGCTCAAAGTAGACAATATTGCTTTCCTGGAAGGCTTTTTTGGAGTTTTCTGGAATGTAGTCCCATACCCGGGTGTAAGGGACGTGAATCGTGCCATAGAAGTACGAGGGCGGGTCGCGCTTTATAGTCCACAGAAAGGAATTGAGCTCACTTTGCTGGAGAAAAGAGGAAGTGAAAGAAGGGTCATTCATGATTACTCAATTAAACTTAAAAACAATCTATTAAAATCTACCATCTTGATAACATGGAAGTGATTAGATGGCAATCTGCACAATGATAATGCACGTTTTAAATTCCTAACGGCCTTTTTTGCAGTAAGAAACAAACCCTGATGGACATATTCTAATTAATAAATTAATCATCAAAATAATCAACAGATTAACAGATAACATAAAAAATAAAACCTGTAGTGCCATATATTTAAAAATATTAGAATGATACCAACAAACCTACAACTACAATGATTTTTATTCAATATTTCACAAGCTGCTCTGCAGTAAATCAAATTAAACAGGCCTAATTATGCTCACTTTGTAATGAAACGTAGCTGGTCATCGTTCTTAAAGTACAGACGATATCCACTATATGCTCAGAAAAGTACACTGTGACATTGGGTGTGCCTCAAAACCTAGTGAGCTCTACATAGACAGCATTTTACGTCATAATTTGCACGCTCCCGACAAGAAGTCCGTTCCAATTCTTAGATATCTCAAATATGCTGCCCACTGAAATACCTTATTTTGGCCGAATTGTGAGAGAGCACCGGATGCGTCCTCAGCCGCTAAGGCAATCCCGCAATGCAACGCGGCGCAACTTTCGTTAGAAGATAGCGGGCAGAAGCAGTTCGCCAAGCAGAAGTCATCTTTAAATGTAAGTTATTCTGATTTTCTGTGGTTTTTTAGTTGTTTTATTGTCACAAAGGTGCACAAATAGCCTATAGTTTGTAATTTGGGTCTGACAGTTTTTGGAACACAAATCCATTAGCATGCAGGCTAGCAGATTTTGAAGCCTCATGCTTATTGTTTTGAATAGCCAGTTGGCTAAGAAACTTGCTGGCAAATGACCAAATAGCTTAACTAGCGATAGGTTTTGTCTAATCGTTGATCCGGTTGTGTGTGTCTTGATCGATTTGGCACAATAATGAGGGTTAAATGGTGCTTTTCTGTAAATTGTTAATGTTTAGAGCTTCCTAGGTCAGAGGAAAGTTTACCTTTGTAAAATTTAATGGTTCAAGAGCAGCAAGTAGCGCTCAAATTCTTACATTCTTAAACTCCTGTCTGTTTTACTGATTCATTCAGAGCAATTACAATTAAAATCGCTATAAAAATCCATGCATCCATGGTGGTAAAACACTAAGGCTGAGGTAAGTAAACAGCAGTCTCGTGCAGTGGGCAGGAACAATCGGCGACGTCATTGCTGTTTAACTAGATCGTCTTTCTTATAAGGATGGATGACGGTTGGAACGCTGCCTACTTAGAAGGCTGCCTATGTAGACAGCGGCTACTAAGAAAGCTCACTAGGTTTTGGGACACACCCATTATTTACCATGATATTGATGAAATATCGTCATATTGCCCACCTCACAGTAGATTACTCGATTACCAAAATAATCCACAGCGACAGCCAAATTTATCAGCAGTGAAAACACAGGGAAAGCAATGTCTGTCTGCACCATGGCTCAAATGCAAGTTTAGTTTTTGCCATACTGAAGGGTGAAGCTGAAATCTGACGTTATTGCTTACATGACAGAATAAACAGTGTCACAGACAAGGCTGACTCTAATAGGTGAATTTCATTTTGATATTACAAGGCAGCAATGCAACATGTTACAACCTGCACTGACAATAAATGTAAGAAAGCCTGTTTATTAATGATATCTGTTCAATATTTGTGGCTTTAAAGAGGACTGCTCTAAAACCTCAAAGTTAATGGCTTAAATTTTACTAGAAACTTTATCAGCATTATAAACTTGACATATTAGTAACAATATTGTTACTGGATAAGTTTTTACACGAGCGCAGTAAAAGAGGCCTATAGGAAATAACACTTTAGCGAATGTTTATTCAAAAGCTGATAACTGGTGCAATGGGCTATTAATATGTCATTAGGGCAGTAATACACATTGGAGCAGGAAGAGCATCAGCATCCTAATAAACTCATTTCACTAAAGTACTTTACTTTCACATTAAATTAAATTAACTTAATTACATTTGATTGTTTCTTCTGATTAAAACAGAACAGGAAAACTGGTAAAAGAGCACTTTTCGTTCTGCTGGCAGGCGATAATATAAATAATATAGCAGGCCGTCACTTCAAATCAAAAGAGAGAGATTCGTAATATTTGATCTTAGAAGTGAAGATCTCTAATCAGTGATATAGAGGCTGTGATATTAAGGTTTTCGCATTAAATGCTCATATTAAATGTACAGCTCCATGTGGCCAAATAAAGAGCTCTGGCCAACACAACAAAACCACTTATTATTTCAGATCACAGCTGTATGTCAGTGAAAACACCAGGTGGTATAACTTTGGTGACTTTACTACACTTTTATAGTTACTTCTCAACCTTTTTTTTGTGAAATTAAAAGATGATTTTCAACATGAAATGTGACCTGAGACTCTCTGTGGTAACATTACTTCATGCATGCTCATTTTTAAAGGGAATACCACTCATTAATTCAGCCCTCGAGATGTAAACAGAGTCATTCAGAGAGGTTTGATGTGAAACGGTTCACTGTAAAGAAGCTTACAGACTCTTTACAACGTTGCTTTACAGTGGTGGTGATAGGAACCAGGGGTCACCATGTCTATAACAAAAATATAACCATTTTATTACTATCCACAAGCACCAGCGAACCTACACGTGTGTAGTTGTGAGTTTTTAAATGTAATGCTGAAGATAGTCACCATCACTGTGAATGATTCTGACTTGGCAAGTTTCTCTAGAACGGAGAACTTCTCATCAAACTGCTTTGAATGACTTTTTTTTTTATCTCAACCATTTAATGACATAGAATTTTGGAAAAATTGGTGGAGTTCCACTTTACAGCTATTCAGTTATGCTGGTGAGTTTACTCCGCTTGTATTCACGCATTCAGTACTCGGTTCACATCTGGACTTCAGTGAAACCTCTAGGTGGTTCAACAGTGGCTATTCAGCTTGACTTATGTCCACTTTCAGACTACTTTTCAACTCACAGATGGACTTCAAGCGAAACTGGAGGTGGGCGATATGACAATAAACATAATATTGCGATAGTTCAGGAAATTATAACTATACATGATTGTGACATGTCACAACACAACAAGTATCGTACCGCGGTATCATTCATCACGATACCTACGCATGCTGTCATATTTCCCAGCCCTAAGTGAAACCTCGGGGTGCTTCAACAACGTTCCCCGACTTTACGGCTACTTTAAGGCGTTTTATGAAAGAAAGGTGATTCTCCAGAGGCTTACCTTCCTGTTGAGGTCGCAGCTGGCCGGCTCCCTCAGGCTCCGCTGGCTGGCCTCCACCAGCAGGGCGAGGCAGGCTTGGACTAACGCGCCCCAAGCCAGCAGCATCGCGGCGTGTCTGCGAACCTTCACGTTCAGCTGGCCGGCAGCTTCTAGCAGCTCATGGTCTCTCTCCAGACCCCAGTCCACACATGTCCCGCTGTGTTTGAGCCATTCTGTGGGGCAACGGCCGGCAAAACTGCGCGAGGTTCAGCTACCTGTCCGCTTCGGGACTGAGGGAAACATCCGTGAAGTTATCTTAGATTAAGATTAGTGTGGTATGGACATGTTTTGTTGTTGTTGTTGAGCTACATGGCACGCACAGTAACGTTATAAGGCTAAGCAGACCTTCGCTAACTTCACTTAGCCGAGCGAGTTGTCCGTTAGCGACGAGAACAAGTCCTTTAAACCGCACACACACTCTCTCAGCTCACACACACACACTCGCACAGCCCCCTCAAGCTGGGTTTTAGACCCTCGGACAACTTTCCTGTCAGCAAGTCGACGGAAAATGAAGCCTGTCCAGCGCTACGTTCAGTTTACCTCAGCAACAGGTCCCTGCACCGGCAACTCTAACGGTTAAAATTCAAATTTAAAAATAACGGTCGCGCTCGTCTCTCCGCTCGCTGCGGGTCTTTACCGTAAACGGCCCCTAATGCACAAACCGAGCGCCTTCGTCACCCGAACGAGCCACTTTTCCGTCCCTTAATCCGAGCCGGACTCGCGGAAAGCAGCTTTAAAGGCGCTGAAGGGGGGGAGTGAAAATGAAGTCTGTGAGCATCACTGACAGAAAAGCACTTTTACCCCCCCTCCCCTCCACCTCCTCCTCCTCCTCCTGCCTCAACTACCACTCCACCCCCCTTCTTAAAAACTACCCCCTACCTCCACGCGCTCCCATACTGCGCGTGCAATAATCTGATTGAAGCGGAGGAGGAGCGAGGGAGTCCGCGTGCTCTCCGGCCAAAACACACTTCTGATAGGTCTCCCCGCACCAGACTTCTCTTCTGTTTTAAAGGGGAATTCCACCAAAATTTGCCCAATTCTGCATCACTGAGTCGTTAACAGGTAAGCAAAGTCGTTCAGAACGAATTCCTGCAGAAGCAGAGCAGCTCGCAGTGGTGGTGATAGGAACCAGACGTCTGGAGAGCTTAAGGCCTGCAAAAGCCACCTCACAGTCATCACTGTGAAGTTACACACGCGTAAGTAGTTAAGAATAAGCCTGAGACATTATTTGGTGTTGAGGTAAAGGTTTGGTGTAAAAGTGGTTTAATTTTAAGTCGTTCACAGCGGAGAATCACATGCATGGCAAAATAGTACCCAAGCAAAAAGTACCCTTTCAGATTTACCACTGTTTTATCATTGAGTGTGTTTACATGCACCTAATAATCCCATAACTGCAGAAAAAAAAGATTCTGTCAGTGATCTGATCAACACGTTTACATGCACTGGGGTAGTCAGATAATAGGAGAACTCCAGGTTTGCATGAGTCAAGCAGTAATCGGATTTCTGCTTTGCAACCAGCCAATAAACTCACAGAAGAAGACGTGACGTAAACATAATGTACTACTCAAACTTAATGCCGCGGCTTTTTTTTGAACATGGTGCCACTTCACCTGAAAATATGAACATACATCATCTAGAAGATGAAGAATATTTAAATACTTCATTTCGTGAAGCATGTATTTGGTTTCAGTGTTGCGCCAAAAGTGTTTTGCTGCGTCTCGCGGCGACGCTGCTCACTTATTTCCGGTACCGCCGTCTGTTTTTGCACATGTGCAGACTGAGAAATGCGAAAGAAATCAGAGTAAGAGTTTACATGCGCAGAGAAATCTGATTACTGAGCTAAAATCCAGCCTCTTTATCGGATGTCTTAATCGGATTATGCTGTTTACCTGACCATTTGAATAATCAGATAACTGCAAAAATGCGATTATGATTGGATTATTGAGGGCATGTAAACACACTCAGTATCAACATTACTTATGAAAACCCTACAGTCAGAGTCAGAGAGTCGGATAAGTTCCTCTAGATCGGACCATTTCACATCAAAACAGCCTGAATAACTGTTTACCTCTCACCAATTAAGTTATGCAATGTTGATGAAGTTTGTGTATTATGTTTACTCACACATTGCAGTGTATTTTAAAGGGACATCATATAGTCTGCTCATGTGTGCTTGTGCGTATGTCTGTATATAGCTCTTTATGGGGACCAAATGTCCCCCATTGTGATAGAACATATGAACAGTTGGACATTGTGGGGACATTTGGCTGCTCTCACTCTCCAAGAACAAGGATTTTTAGCAGTTATTGGTTGCTGACGTTCAAGTTAGGGCTGGGTTAGGCACACAGTCATACAGTCCAGTCCAGGAACCTGTGAGTGTGTGTGTATTTAGTGCTCTGTGAGGACCAAATTAGGTCCTCATCCTTAGATTGATGGAATAAGTTTGTCATTTTGGTTTCTTCTCATGAATAATTTTGCTTTATCGTCAATAACATGTAATCTAATATCCAGTATGTATTCCAAGAATAGTAAAGGCCTATTACAGTAAGGATTGCTCCAGGAATAGTAAGAACCCAGAGATTAGCATTTGGATCCTGAGGTTCAAACCATTAATGTCCATATTTGAACTTGTATGTCTTTTTTGGTCCATATGTTCTCTAAGCTTGACTTGGCGAATCTGAACTGATCAAACTATTCAGACAAAGTGAGTTTTTTGTCATTCAGTTTATCATTAAATTCTGTTTTTTGGCCACATGGGACTGCTGATTGTTAGCAAAACAACAACAACAGAAACTCAAGATTTAAATGTGAATAAAAGTCTAAAAATGACAAAATTAGAAATGTAATGAAACAAAATTTCACCATCAGAACATTTAACAAATGTGGCGTTTCTCCATAACGTGATAAATTTACGTGAAATGTGTTATGGTATGGTTTGAGGTGTAGCCAAAGGGTAACAGTTTACTTGAAGGGTGTCTATATAACACATTCATAACATCTTACATAAACGCTTCATAACACGTTCACAAACGTTTAAATCAACACTCATAAAGCATGCATGTTTTACATGATTTTAATATGGACTTCTTAGTCATTTCACTGAGAGACATTTTTCAAAATAAAAGTTCTCATTTTTTTCATTTTGAAAAACTATATTATTTATAGTAAAAGGCCTCATTTCTAGACAGCCAGCATAAAAATGACCTTGCTTTACCCTTTTGGTCATTAAGTGCTTTGACACTTTGGCACACCACCACACTAAGATTCAGTCGAATGATTGTCCCTAAGCATATTTATGAGTAACTTACTGTCTGTTTAATAAAGCAACATGCAAAATAAACAAATGTTTAAGAAAAAAACAAATAATTAAACAGAAGTTGAAACAAGTGTTAAAGCACTTAATGACCGAGAGGATAAAGTGAGGTCATTTTTATTTTGGCTGTCTTACTGAAAACAATAAACTTCTTCAAATTAAAAAGTGAGGATTTTTATTTTGAAAAATGTCTCTCAGTAAAATGACGTAATAGTCCATATTAACATCATGTAAAACTTAAGCTTTATAAATGTTAATGTAAACATTAATTAACATGCTATTTTATGTAAGATGTTATGAATGTGTTATGTAGACATCCTTCAAGTGAAGTGCTACCAGTCAAAGCATTATTTAACCAGAGTTGTGCAGAAATGAATGGATTTACCCCATAAAGATAGGAATACAAACCATGCTGGCAGCGTTTGATTGTTAATGGAATGCACTAATTAGTGAAGTCGTAAGCCTAACAGACCGGGCTGAGTGCGGGACATCCTGTAGCTACATTATTCTGGTAATGTGCTGCAAACCCACATATCATTTACATCCCAATGCAGCCTGTGAGGAGGCTGTTGAGGCCCAGGCCGAGTGTGCACTCCGGCTGCAGCGCTGCTGCTTTCACACGCCGCAGCAGATACGCGCTGATGGAGGACGGGTGCAGACGTCTGAGCAAACAACATGTTTGGAGTGAAGTGTCGTTGGGTGGGGGGGTGGGGGGTGGGGGGTGTTATTTGTGAGACGGGAGGGGCAAGGCCTAACATAATATACCCTTGGTCAGTTAACAGCCACTGAAACACAGTATTATGTGATCTGAACACACTGGTGAGTCTACATTGTCTTGAACTGGTTGTATTTGTTGAGAAAGTGTGTTGAAATAGTGTGTTAACAACAAATCATTGTGTGATCTCAACACGTTCGGTGAACCTATGTTGGCATGTTCTAGCCACTTTACCTGAAAATATGAACATCCATCATCTAGAAGATGAAGAATATTTAAATCTTTCGTTTCGTCTTTGGTTTTAGCGTCGCTCCAAAAGTGTTTTGCTGCGTCTCGCGGCGACGCTGCCCGCTTATTTCCGATACCATCGTATGTTTTCGCTCATGCACAGACGGAGAAATCCGAAAGAAATCAGAGTAAGAGTTTACATGCACTGAGAAATCTGATTACTGAACTAAAATCCAGCCTCTTTTATCGGATTTCTGACTCCGATCTAAGAAATCAGAGTGTGCTGTTTACACGACCATTTAAATAATCAGATAACTGCAGAAATCTGATTATGATTGGATTATTGAGGGCATGTAAACACACTCAATATCAGCATTACTTATACAAACCCAGTCAGAGCCGGAGAGTCAGATCAGTTTCTCTACATTGGACCATTTCACTTCAAACCTCTCAGCAATTAAGTTATGCAATGTTGATGAAGTTTGTGTATTATGTTTACTCACACATTGCAGTGTATTTTAAAGGGACAGCATATAGTCTGCTCATGTGTGCTTGTGCATATGTCTGTATTTAGCTCTTTATGGGGACCAAATGTCCCCCATTGTGATAGAACATATGAACAGTTGGACATTGTGGGGACATTTGGCCGCTCTCACTCTCCAAGAACAAGGATTATGAATTTTGTGTATTATAGTATGTTAACAGCAAATCATTGTGTGATCTCAAAATATTTGGTGAACCTATGTTGGCAGAAGAGGAACAAAATACTACTAGAAAGATTATAAAACCAGAATTATAACTGAGTAATAATACTAGGAAGGTATTATATATGGTGTTATGTATACCTCTCTGATGAAGTCAAAGCGCAAATAGAGTAGGTTGCACATGATTCAAAACGGGTTATACTCTCCAACTTTGAGGTAAAACGTTTGATGTAGTATGTAAAAATGTTTGTTTTTCAAAATGTAGCAGATAGATAGACAGACAGACAGACAGACAGAGCGACAGATAGATAGATAGACAGACAAACAGATCAATAGAAAGGCAGGTAGACAGACAGACAGACAGACAGACAGACAGACAGATAGACAGATAGATAGATAGATAGATAGATAGATAGATAGATAGATAGATAAATAGATAGATGCAAAGTACCACCTTACACTATTTACAGATATATAAATAGAAAGTAGAGCTAAATAATAAAATAGAATAAAATAAAATAACGATAAGAATAAATCTAATGTGCAGTACAAAAAAAAGAAGTAAATTGCATAAATACTATGCAGTTGACAATGCAGTGGTGTATGCAGTGGTCCAGTGAATGAACCAGTGAGTATGAACTCTAACGATAACCTATATTAACAGTTGTGCAACATGACATTTATAGATGCATAAACGAAGTGGCGGTGCAATACGAAATACGTATAAATGTATAATCAAAGTGGCAGCGCATAGTAATATGAGTGGAGAGATGTAATGTAATGTCCAGCTGGTGCCCAGTGAGCCTGTCCTGTCAGTGGCTCAGTATACAATAATGTCCCGGCCC